CTGCTCTAATAACACTAACTGACCTTGCTTAAGACAGGTGCCGAGGGCTTGAAATGTTGTAGGATTTTTGTGTTTAACAAATTGTTGAACCCCTCTGCAATAATAACTGACGGTGATTCAGGAGAGTCAGTCCTTGCTGGGTTGAATGATTAGCTACCGCCTTGTGAGTCGGCATGGCTGAAGTGCAATTTGTAACTGCAAACAATGGGCTGGAAATTGTAGCGAATGTTCGCCTTTACAGTGCATCGCACACGCCCCAGTACCAATCTGGACAACACATTCATACGGGCCAGTAGCTGAGCTGTTGAAACATATCACAAAAGCACAGTTGAGCAGACCTGAGACACAATTATAATAATGTAAACGATTTCATTTACGACAGGTAATTGAGGGGGGGAAATTGGAGTGAATGTTCGCTTTTACTTTGGATCACACGGCGCCAACTACAAATGCGAACGACGCGTTCATACAGGCAAGGAGTTGATCTATCGAAAAGTATTGCAAAAACACATCAAAAAACATGCCGGTAGAGTAAATAATTTCATGGTATGAGACCAAATTAGATGGTGGTAGAAACAAGCCGAGGAAGATGGACAGCACATTGTTACAGGCAACCGTCTAAGCTACCAAAATTCATGAACGGCTTATCAGATTACAAGTGCTACCCACATTAAATGTAGTCACGGTGTCCAAATCCCAGAGTCAAACTGTCCACAATATTCCGCCCACGTCGACGCAACATTCCAAAAATACCTCAACTCCGTGAGAATTTCACGCTGCTAACGTGTTTCGCGGAAATGGCGGTGTACCCCTCATAAAATAATGAAGGTCAGAGGATTTTTTCCTCAGGTGCTGTACTTCATGCATTGCCTGTATCAAGTGGCCGAAGGGTGGCCCAGGTGGTGGGCAATTCCAAGAATACAATGATCTTATCATTGTTCGACATCCTCGACTGATTGGGGCCTTCGCTGCCATCGACGGATTGAATCTTCCTGTCCAAACATCGGAGGATGAAGATATTGAGAATGCTACCTACAACGGGTGGCTCTCAGAGCATTTTGTCAGCTCAGTACTTGTGTTCTCACCGAAAGGCAAGAACATCAATGCTATTGTAACTTCATTCACTGATAATATCTTAGGTGAAATCATTGATGCTGTTGTAAATGCACCAGGCAGTTGGCACGATGCTAATGTTGCTCGTCCTATTTTTGAATGGCTTCGCACACGAACACCACCTGGATACTACCTCATTGCTGACACAGCATTTCCTCGTGGAACACAATCCATTGCAGGACGCATTCGCGCCCCACTCAAGGCTGGCCAGGCTGTGCAAGGTACGCCAGACGAGATTGCGGAGCGAATGGCCTATGACCATGAGCTTCTCTCATATCGGCAAACAGCCGAGTGGGGAAATCGAGGTCTTCAAGGAGCATTTGGTCGTCTCCGTGTTCCACTTCCCATTGACAATGCAGAACGTCGAGGAAATCTCCTTGAGATCTGCAATCGCCTCAATAATCTGCGCACAAGACGAGTGGGAATCAATCAGATCTGGACTGTATACATGCGATACTGGCAGGACACAGCTGAGGACATTGATATCTGGCAGAACTTTGAGAATATGCTCTTCTCAGATCAACGAAAGAACGATAGAGTTGCTCACTTCCATACTTACGCAGAATACACGTAAACAGGTTTGTATTACAAGCAGGTGTATGGTAATTGTAACAGAACACAACAAGTAACAGAACATAAGTGTAGACAGAAGCAGATGTTGCACTACTCTACTCGTCCTTGGGCCCATCAGCATCCTTGACATATATATCATCATCGTCACCCTCCTCACCATCTTGGTCCTTGCCAGCTGTGGCAGTGGCAGCATTGGGCTGGGAAGTAGTTAAAGCTTGCAACTCTATGCCAAAGTGATGGCCTGACGACGACAACGACGAAGGCTGGTCTCTATAGTCAATGTCACAGCGGCGACGGAAGAAATTGGGGTCCTCGTTCTCCTTATCACTCTCACCCGAGGTAGAGGAGGGATCCGTGACCCAGTATGTGTGTATACCTCCCTCCGGGTACCTCTCCTCGCAACGCATCTTTCCCCGGACACGCTGGACTGAACGCTTTGTGGACTTCGAGCGCTTGACATACCCATTGTGGCGGCTCCTCCTGAAAGGTCGAGACTGGTGGCTACCCTCTTCAATGAGCTGCAACTGCAACTCAGCACGATCGCGGGCTCGCTGGGCCTCATGAACCTGGGTCTGGAGAGTAGAGAGCTGGGAGCGGAGCGACTCAATGGTAAGGTTGGCGTCTCAAAGTTGCTGGGAAAGGGTGAACATCTGCGAGGCTTGGAAGGAACACTGGGCACGTTCCTCATCACGAGCTTGTTGGACACTCGGATCAAAGGCATTGGCAAGCTTTCCGATGAGGTCGACGTTGTTTGACCAAGAGCGGCGCTGGACAGCGGGGTCAGGTCGGCAGATGATAGCATTCTGGATATCACGGTTGCCAGCGGATGCTGCCTTCCTCGATTTCTTCGGCGCCTCTGGGATGTCGTCGGCATCGTCGTCGTCATCTTCAGATCCACCAGTCAACTGAGCAGCATCATCGAAGTCGGAGTCGTTGAGATCGCGGGTGGCAGCCCTCTCGTTGATACGCTCGTCAATCTTGTGTGCTCGTTTGACGTCCAGGGGACAATAGGCATCACCAGTGGGCTTTGTGGTCTTAACAAGCTAAGATGTGTTGTAAGTAACGATGTTTCTTACATATAACCAAAAACGGCTGACCTGTTTGAACTTGGTCTCCAGAGACTTTAACGTGCGTTCAGCAGCATCGTTACGACAAGCCCAGCGAGTGAAACCATGGTGGATGGACTGCCACCCGCGTTGGCCAAGAGGGAGCTCCTCCTTGACTTTGTCAATGAGGGCATCAACCTCGTCTGCAGTGTAGTTGCCAGCACCCTTGGGACGGCCACGCTTGGCTACTACCTCAACTTCTTCATCATCCGAGGCATGCCTGTGCTTGCAAGCGGTGGCCTTCTCCTTTCCCTTATCGCGAGACTTGGTTAGTACAGCGCGCTGTTTGCCCTTGCCCTTCTGACGTGATCCAGCGACCTTCTTCGCAGCGGCATGGCCCCGGGACTTCACAATTGTGACCGGGTCAGAGAGGTCGTCGTCCGAGACCTCAGGAAGAGGTAAAAGCGCCGGATCGATCACTGCAGTAGAAGGGCCGGCTGTCGGGGCTCGAGTGGATGTAACAATCTAACACAGCATTAGAACAAAGGAGATATATGATCTAGGAGGCTACATACCACAAGAGCCTCAGAAAGCGGTTGGTTTGGACCATCCTCCATGTTATTATGGGGGCGAGTCTGACGAAAACAAGTCAGGACTGGTGTAGACAACAATAAGATATAACAAAACGTACCGGGGCAGTTTCGTTCTGGGACACAGCAGGAAATCCATGAGTTGCAGTAGGGACAGACTGAAAGAGAAGGAAAGAGGGATTGAGACATGTAGAGACACCATATAGGGTAGGGTACCTACCTGAGAAGTCACCATGGTTGGCGCGTATAACTGAACCCAATGACCAGAGACATCTTGGACATATGGCTGCCCAAACCTGTCATATCGGATGTTAGGGTTGCCAGGAACAGGGGTAAGTTGGTTGGGGTCCATAGCGGTTGATGAAGAGGTAGAACGAGCTGAGTTTTGGTGACACGAAGCCTGGGAGGTAGCAGCAACAACTCACCACTTTTATACCTATCTCTCCATGCATTTCAGCCGTCTTCCGCTCCTCATTTCCCCTCCTAAGCCTTCGATAATGTTCCTCAAGCCATTCAAGACCGTCTCGAGACCGCTAGCGAGCGCAATTAAGCCCCTGGCAATGCAGGCTGCAGCCAATAAAGGACCTAATTGCAGACCCTGCTCATGATTGGATGTGATTAGCATGGTACGAGGAAGTAGTAGCATGTAATGACTCACTCTCACACATGAAGGGGGCTTTGGCAAGCTCGATGGGCAACGATGGACGACAACGATGGACGATGACGAAGGTTAAGATAAGAGCACGGCGTAAGCAAACAGGGAGTTGTTTGGTTGTGCATCACGGGACAAACAGTTTATTCGACCGAAAAAAGTCTATTCGAGGGGGTAGGACCCTCTGAATAGATTAAGGTTTATTGAGGGGCCCAACCAGGCACGACGGATAATCCGCGTTGACATGTTGGCAGCGGCATCGCGGCATCACCGCCAAGGAGCACGAATATAATCTATTGCGGCGAATAAATGCTTACGGACAGTCATCCACTTTTGATGGGAGCGAGTAGTCAATTTCCCTGCTTTTCGCCTAGCTTTCTAAAAAAAACTAATCTATAAATTAACTCATGAGAGGATTATGCCCTCGATTTTATTACGCGGAGAGACAGCGCTGAAATGATTAATTGAGGCGGTAGCGGGCATGGCAGAGATTATAATTAATTTAGCCTCTAAGTGATGTGGTACAGCCGCAGTTTGTGCCAGGGATTGTACACCCTTTCGCAAGTACCACACAAGCCACGGGGTCAGAAATTTATCACATAAATATTAACTGAAGTAGGATAGTCCCTTTTATGTCGTTCAACCTTGAGTTTTCCTGGTGTGAGGCATGATGGAGGCCATCGGTATCTGATTCAAAACGCGCCTCTCGAAGCGCGTGAAAATAAATCATCCATACACCTCCCAAAATCTGGTTGCTAATGCTGCTGTTACATATGCCCCATGTGAGAGAGCCAGAAAATCCTCATCTCGCGCGACTTTTAAATTATTTGTGTACCCACCACCGTATCGGCATACCGGCCCGGCCACACCAAGCCCACTCGCCGTCAAAATCAAGGTCCCACCTTTGCAATCTCATCTTATCGCGCTTCTGAATCATTCAAATGAGTCATATTTCAAGCGGGGAAACCTGGCCGGAGGACCGACGACAGCAAGCTAAGTATAGAAAGCGGGCTGAGGGGAAACAAGGCACGTAAGGCGCCGAGGTGCGGGGAAAAAACAATTGAAAGCGAAGAAATGAAGAGCAGACCAAAATAACGGTGTACAATCTATCTATCCAAACTCTTGACGGGATTCCAGAGTGTAAGTGAGGGGGAAACTACTTAACAATGTTCTGTGGATAAACTGATACGATGGGGCTGTGTGATCATGATAGCACGACGACGGCGGGCAAATTGGGTGTGTGGGGTAGCAGATCATTCATTCTACACATTGGTTAATGAAGAAAAAGATTCAGCGAGTTCCTACAACATTCGAAAATGTGCACGACCCAAAGGGTTCAGGTGCAATAGATAGGGTTGTTCCTCGGAGGCATAAATTCTTGGTTGGCAAATGCCCGGCCGGCGAGGCGGGGGAAATTTGCGCGAGGTCGTTATAGAACGCACACGACACGCAGGTGTGCTGTGGAATGAAGTAGGCTTGAAGTTCAAAAGTCGATGATCACCAAAAGACGAAGGAGTAAGACCAAGGCAGCGAGGCCTAAACGTTGGAGGGGACAATGGCGGGGGCGAGTTGTTAGTCAGGTGCCTCAGGCTCCTGGCGGGATGTGGGGAAATGGGGGCTGGGCTGGCTGGTGCAGGTTGATGCCGTTTCGGTATCTGGTGACCACGCACGGACCCTCCTCGTATCAGCCTCGCTGTCGAGTGTGAGTGACCGCCGCCGCTTTCGCGGAGTGGTGTCGACGGTGAGGGACCCCGTCGTGGCCGAGACACCCTCGATCCATGCCAGAACGGTGTCGTTCAGGGGACCCGAGTGCGGCAGGAGGTCCAGTGAGAGCGAGTTGGAGTGGGTCGCGGTGCTGGGGGTCGGGATTTGCTCCTCCTCGAGGGAGTCGTCGATGTCGTCGTGGGGATGGAAGAAGAGGGTGTAGCGGGCGGGTTCGTCAGCGCCCGTGGAGAGCGGGAAGTCGAAGCTTCCTTGGCCCGTGCCATCTGTGAAGGAGTCGAGGTCCTTCATCTGGGGGGCGTTTGGTGGTGGGATGGACTTTTCGCCGGAATACCAGGAGTGCCCGTTACTGTGGGGCGATTAAGGATACGACTGCAACGAGAGCTGAATGATACACACAAGGGGGCCTCCCCCGAAGCGAGAAAGACTAGTGAGCTCTTGAGAGCTGGTGGTGTGGGTAGCGATGCGCTGGTCGAGGACGGAGTGTTCATAGTGGGGGTTTCGTTGCTGCAGAGCTGGATGAGGTGCATTGGGGGAAAAGAGTGGGAATGGTCACGTACCAGTCGTGGAACCCTTTTATACTCAGGCCCTTGAGGCTTTCCAGCATGTCTCTGTCGTCGTCACGCGCAAAGACGGTGGTGGATTTTGACGACTTGGAATCGGGTGTCATTTTCTGGTGGTCGACGATGGTGGTTTCCTGCGGCGATGGACGGTGAGAAACAACGACAGCAGCACTGTCTGGCAGTTAGACATACAGTGGAGTGAAGAGGAGGGCCAAATAGCAGAGGGGAGGGTATTATATAGGGTATAGAGTCGACAGTCGCCGCGTCCGAGAGTGGGAGGAAAGAGAGGGTGATTCCAAACTCCGCTATCTTTCAAAGCTTTTTACGGCGCAGCACTGCCCGCCTGAAATCCTGGCATTCGCACGGTGGAACCCTCGGAGGACACTATCGCGCCTTTCACCAACATGCTCGGGGTTTCTGGAGCAGAAAACGCAAAAATATGAGATCGGAGGCGAGGGCAGGACCAGTGGGCGTTGGGATTGAGGGGCGTGTACGGATAGAAAGCAAAATAGACCGTTGAAAGTCTGTCGATGGATGGACGAGGACCGGCCGGTCAGGGAAGTCCTTCCTCTTTCGTGCCGTCCCTTGATGAGATCTATGTCATCGCCGCGGCACCAGTAAGTCAGGGACTCCATTTTCACAATGAACTTTGCAGACACACTTTGAAATGACCTGATATGGGCGCTACCTGCGCAACAGTCCCCGATGTATCGTATGTCTACGGCGCAGCTGAATGTCAACACGGAAAATGGTCTGAAATCACTCCATTCGACAAGCAGAGGTGCCAAACAGCAGCGTATGTGGTGAGTCGTAATCTTGAATCCTTGAGCAGGTCATTGTATGTTCGAACATTCTCGGAGGAATGTAAACGAGTGGGCGTCTACTTGGGAGCCAATATTGGAAACGTAAGCCTCGAACATGATTGCCTTTTATGCAATGTACAGACGTTGTACCTTCGAACTGCTCCCCCAAAGTCCCACCGTACATACAAACACTTGAATACCTGGGTCGTGTGGGAACAAAAATAGCTTGATAAACGAATCAAGAAACCCAAACCGGCGGCGAGAACAGTACCAAAACTCACTTTGGGGTGATCCTGCGGTTTCACCCAAGAGAGAATGTACCCAAAGCCCAGCAGGTTAGGTAGGTCCCGTGTCGGGGACGCGCGTCCTTTCGAGAAGGTGGTGGAATAGCACAGAACAGTTTGGAACAGTTCCGATAGATGGTTGCCTCACATGGCCCAGTGAATCCAATAACACCGTAGAAACAGGGCAAATGAAAACCAGACACGTACACCGCAACCTGGCGATGCAGTAATCGATTCTTGAGCGAATATATGCAGTGTACTTTCGGGAGAGAAAGATACGTTTACTTGAGCATTGAGTCATAGGCGCGACTAGGTCTGAGCTTAGGCACATGACTAGTCAGTTCGACAGACCAAGGCGGCGACGGCTCACGACACGTAGCCTTCCAGAAAGTCCTGGAATAGAGGAGAATATTCCCAGTAACAGATGCATCTGTTGATTTTCGTGACTTTTCGTCGCCCTGTGCAAACCCGGAACAACAGAGATATCTGGAACCAACCATTCAGCTATAGCCCACCATGAAAATCAGACATTACTCCGTGAACAGCAATTACGGATCAGATAGCGTATAGGACTTTGGGTTGCGAACGAGGTCATCGAGGAGTTCTGCCACAGAAGCACAGGGGTAAGAGTGCTGGTGGCACGAGAGAAAGCTGGTGGCACGAGAGAAATGCAGAGGAGGCAAGCAACGGGCACCGGAATGCGGGTCAGCGGGGTGGAAGAGAGACGACGGCCAGAGCGAGCTGAGATGCTACCTGTTTATATAGCTGGTGGAATGAAACGTAGTCATCGCTCTAGTCATCAACACCGACGCCAATGACTCAGCTTTTTAGGACCAGCGAGTGACACTGGCGGATCAATGTTGTCTACAGTCCGCTGATAAGTCGACGATCAGGAGACGCATCTAGCGCACTAGGGCTCCAGCCAAAGAGATCACGAAGGGGATGGCTGAACGTTGGCGATCAGAAGTGAGAAATGTGGCATCTGCCAAAATCCTAGCAAGTCCTTCAAGACCATCGGAGAAAATGAGAGCGAGTTCGATATCCCCGTCCAGATTGTAAGACATCTCTGTAAGAGGAGACAAGCCAAATTCCGAGAGTCGCCCAGTAGATGCTAGATAAAAACATTGCCAGCCTTGTGTCGCCAGTGAGAGAACTTCAACGACCAGCTTTGAGGCTCGCGAGCACAGGAAAGGTGGCAACAAGCCAGATACGAGCAGGTGGCACCATACCCAGGCATTTTTCCAGTAAAGAAAGCGTCCACATTTTCAGCACACCTAGAACGCGTGTTGCGATGTTGAAGAGGTGAAGAGGCTGGGGACATAGTGTTGGTGTATGCGCATATTTGTCACCGTCCTGATACGTGGCTCGGGACACGATGATAACTTCACAATTCTAGGTTGTCTGCGACACCCACCTATTCACGATGCTGAACTTTGAAGATGTTGAGGAGAGAGACGGTGAGCTAAACTAAATGATTTGTATGCAAATTAGAGTTTCGAAACTGACGTGGTTGACCAGGTGTCCGTTTGTCATGGAACGTATGGCCGTCATCGCGCATAGAGGCGACCAGGACCGTCGTCCCCATCTCGGCACTCTACACCCCCCTAAAAGTCCGTGAGGATCTTCCGCCCGTGCTCTACGAGCCGGTCGCGTGCAAACCGCCTTGTCGGGCGATTCTCAACCCCTACTGGTGAGCATCGGCGTCCCCCAACCAAGACCAAGATCAGTTGTAATTGTAGTCGCCCAACCACAGCCAAATTGACATCCGAGGAAAGCTCTGGATCTGCCCCTTCTGCTTGTCGCGCAACGCCTTCCCACCGCACTACAAGGACATCTCAAACACCAACCTGCCTGCGGAGCTGCTGCCCAAGTATACGACCATCGAATACACCCTCGCCCGACCAGCCCAGGTCCCGCCTATATTCCTCTTTGTGGTCGATACTTGCTTGGACGAAGAAGATCTCAAGGCGCTGCGCGATGCCATCGTAGTCAGCTTGAGCTTGATTCCGCCATATGCGCTGGTGGGCCTAATCACCTACGGAACGATGGTGCGTAGCCTCGCGTTATCTCTGCATGAGATTTATTCTTAACCTAAACGTGTCGTCACAGACGCAAGTGCACGAGATTGGGTATGCAGAGTGCAGCAAGTCATACGTGTTCCGAGGCGGGAAGGAGTATTCGCCAAAGCAGATCCAGGACATGCTCGGGTTGACCTCGCAGAACCGGGCTGCGCCGCGCCCAGGGCAGCCAATGCCGCAGTCTGCGTTTGGAGCTGCTCGTTTCCTGATGCCCGCCCAGCAGTGCGAGTTCCAGCTGACGGGTATCCTCGAGTCCCTCCAGCGGGATCCCTGGCCAGTCGCGAACGACAAGCGGCCCCTGCGGTGCACGGGCGTTGCTCTGAGTGTTGCCGTTGGCCTCCTGGAGACGACGTATCCCAACACTGGTGCCCGTATTATGCTATTCGCTGGAGGACCAGCGACTGAGGGCCCTGGTATGGTCGTCAGCAATGAGCTCAAAGAGCCCATCCGGTCACATCACGACATTGATCGTGATAGTGCCAAGCACTACAAGCGGGCAATCAAGGTTAGTTGTCTTTGGACTTTGCTCGTTTTCTGTCTGATTACTGTTTAGTTCTACGAAGCATTGGCAAAGCGGGTCTCCAACAATGGTCATGCAGTGGATTTGTTCGCTGGATGCTTGGATCAAGTCGGCTTGTTGGAAATGAAGTCGCTGCCCAATTCGACAAACGGCGTCATTGTGCTCTCCGACTCATTCGCAACGTCGATCTTCAAGCAGAGTTTCCTTCGCATCTTCAACAAAGATGATCAAGGCCACCTGCAAATGGGCTTCAATGCCACCTTCGACGTTCAGGTATGTCGCTAGGATGTAGATATATGCGCGTATTTTTGAACATTTCTCAGACCACCAAAGAACTCAAGGTCTCCGGTCTTATCGGACATGCTATTTCCGCCGCCAAGAAGTCTGCCTGCGTTGGAGAGACAGAAATCGGTATTGGTCAAACATCGGCGTGGAAGATCAACACCCTCACGCCACGTACTGCTACCGCCGTCTACTTCGAGGTTGTGACGCCTGCTGGTCAACCACTGCAACAAGGATCTCGCGGCCTCATCCAATTCGTCACACACTACCAACATTCTTCTGGTCAACAAAGACTACGGGTGACCACCATCGCGCGTAACTTCGCCGAGGCAGGCTCGCCCAGTGTTGCGGCCTCCTTTGACCAAGAAGCAGCAGCCGTCCTGATGTCGCGAATCGCTGTCTTCAAGGCAGAGATCGATGACTCGCCAGATGTCCTTCGGTGGTTGGACCGTATGCTTATTCGCCTATGCCAGAAGTTCGCGGATTACAGGAAAGAAGACCCGACGAGCTTCAGGTTGACCGACAACTTCAGTATCTATCCTCAATTCATGTTCCACCTTCGTCGGAGTCAGTTCTTGCAGGTTTTCAACAACAGTCCGGACGAGACCGCTTTCTATCGGTAAGCTAGCTCAGTTTCCCTTCCGTAGGCCTTTCGAGCTCATCGCGACACGCAGCCACGTTTTGAACGAAGAAGACGTCAACAACTCGCTAATTATGATCCAGCCCACACTCATGTCCTATACTTTCGATACTCCACCACAACCTGTGCTTCTAGACAGCGTCTCGATCAAGCACGATGTTATCCTGCTTCTCGACACGTTCTTCCATATCTTGATCTTCCATGGCGAGCTCGTCGCGCAATGGCGGAAGCAGGGCTACCAAGATCAGGAGGGATACGACAACTTCAAGGAGCTGCTCGAGCTGCCTGTTGCTGATGCCCAAGATCTCCTCGTTGACCGATTCCCTGTACCGCGGTACATTGTGTGCGACCAAGGCGGCAGTCAAGCGCGGTTCTTGCTATCCAAGCTCAACCCGTCAACAACACACATGTCCGCGACGATGTATGGATCGACGCCTGGAGCTGGCGCAGGTCAGGCGATTTTCACCGATGACGTCAGCTTGCAGGTCTTCATGGAGCATTTGAAACGACTGGTAAGCACGGCATTTACTTGACGGGTAGCATCATCTTCTTACATGTGGTTCTCTTCTCTTTTTTAGGCCGTCGGCGCGCAAACAAATTGATTTGTCCACCCACTCTGTTTCCCACTACATGGATTAGATTTGATTGTTGTTGTGTTTCATTTCTTTCGCCCTTCTTTCCCTGCGCTTATCTCAGGAGCTCCAGATTCTTTCTTTTGTTGGTATTATCCTGGAAATAAAATGCTGAGTTCTTGATTTAGGCCTGCACGACACGCGCTCGCGATTCTGTTTGACAATGAACAACTCTTGCAGCTCTTGAATTTGCCCGCCTACTCCGCATGGTCAACCTTCTCCTTCGAGTCGTGCCCGGATGCACACGCCAGTGCTCGAGAGTCAGAGCTGATTGCAAGGGAAAGGGATTCCTGTTCGGAAGCACTTTACTCCGCCACTGTGCCACCCGATAAGGCTATTGAACAGTTATTTTGGGAATGCATTCTTTAACCAGCTATTTTTAGGACAGGGCCCTGGTTCTTGTCGTGCTCCTCCCAAGGGTGCATGTGGGCCGTCGTAATAGACGCCACCAAAGCCCGGTATTGCGTCTTCACCCCGGGCATATTCGAATGAACATTCCTCCTTTGATTCCCAACGGATCGCTATTCACCAGCGCCAGAGGAGACGGCTGGTCGATCTTTCTCTAGGCTGAAGGTGAATTCTCGGCTGCGGCCCTATGGCGCCTTCTGACAGCGAATCGACGGCAGTTGAAGGATTAGGAAGAAGAAACAGCGAGCACCGTGGCTATTTGAATGCTTTGTTAATTTCTCCTACTGGGACGGGTATTTTTGCCTCAGGACCAAGCTCGACGGAGTTCTATGGATCGCCGCAACCCATCCATCCATCCAGTCGGTTTGTCTAAGTGCAGACCGTGACATTTCATAACACAATTTTGCTGATTGGACTGGAGAAGAATTTGTAGTCCGTGGAAAGCACAAATGACCGCGTGGTTCTATCAACTGCTATCCCAGATCCCCCCAGTTCCGGTGCCTTCTCGTGGGGCGGACTTCTTGAATTTGGGATCTCAGGATGCTTATATATATGAAGGGCACGGTATCACCAATTGACATCCTATCTTCCCTACGTCTTCCCTACGTCTGGCCATCCTCGAGGTCGAAGATAGAGAGCAGACATGGAGCGATCCTCGAAAGCCGCCGCTATCGACGAGCTGCCAACGCTCAAGGAGGAGAAGGCGATCGACTCGACCTCTGACAGTATCGACGTTGCCGACGAGAAGCAGCTTGCGGACTACGCCGATGCCTATGACGGCGACGATAAGCCTGAGCTCAGGAATGGCGAGCCGGTCATCACCAGCGGGAAAGACGTCTCGTATTTCGCCGTCGACCTCCGCGATGACGGAGATGAAGCTCTCACGTTCAGGTCGATTGTGCTCGGGACAGTGTTTGCTGGGCTGGGCGCCGCACTCTGTCAGGTGAGCAAGCTAATCCTCTGCCGTAGTGGACTAGTGTCTTCATCGTCAGGCTAACCGTTTTTCGTCTCGATTAGATTTACCTCTTCAAGCCAGTGCAGATGTCGGTCTCGACGGTGTTCCTGCTGCTCTTGACCTATACTGTGGGCAACGCTTGGGCGAAGTTCTTCCCAAAGGCCAGTTGGGTCAAAGACACTCGTCTTGAGGTACTCGTACCTATCTTCCACTTCATCAACCCTGGGCCATTCAGCTTGAAGGAGGTCAGAAACAACGGGACCCGTAATTCGTGTCATCTAAAGCCTGTCCTCTTACAGCATGTCGTCGCTTCCCTCGTCTCTTCAACGGCCGCTAGTGGGAGCTCCGCGGTGCAAAACTTCGCCGTCCAAAGGGTGGGTTTTCTGTTCAGCAAAGATACGTTGGTCCATATGGGAATTAACGCCCAAAATGCTATAAATAGCTCTATTATGACACCAATGTTGCAGCCACTACCGCTGTGCTCGCGACATTTTCTACTGCTTGTTTCGGGTGAGTTGGCAACTTACTCCGAAAATTACATGGCTAACAGACGGTGATTATGGGTTAGGTATGGGCTCGTGGGTCTTCTTCGCCCCCTTACCGTCTACCCTTCGGAGATGGTATATTGGTTTGTGCGTCCTCGTCTGCTATCCATATTCCCAAAACCCACATGCTGATCCTTCGAGCGTAGAATCTTCCCACCGTCTCGGTGTTCCAAGGTGCCATTATACCTGATATATATGCAATCTGCCGCTGACAAGCGAGGTCTCTATTTAGCTCTTCACTTCGACACCGCGGCGAACGTGAAACGACTCAGGCTATTCTGGACGGCGTTTGTCGGGATGTTCGTCTATGAGATTATCCCGGCGTACATTTTCCCGCTGCTAAACGGCGTCAATATTGTGTGCCTTGCCACGCAGAAGGCGTCCCAGAAGTCGGTCGACATTATCACGAACCTATTTGGTGGCACGGATGGTAACGAAGGCCTGGGATTTCTCTCGTTGTCCTTTGACTGGCAATACATTGGTTCGGGGTATGGAACTTTTTCCTTTTTTTACAAATATTTGGTGCCGTTACCGATCATTTTTGAACCCAAGTTATATGAGCTTGCCTCTCATCCAGCAAGGTTTGTCCGATGACGGGAATTTGGGACATTACGAAGCGTTGACGAATTTCCAGCTAACTCGTGGATCGGCTACTTTTTCTGCTACATCGTTATCATGGCCATATATTATTCGAACCTATGGAACGTACGTATCTGCTGAACTCTAGATATTAATCATCATTCCCTCAATCCTGATAAAATCCTGTATAGTCTCTGGCCTTCCCGATGCTCTCGAGTTCGATCTTCTCCTCCAATGGATCGATCTACCATCAGTCTGCCGTTTTCGGGACGCACTTCCAGCTCAATCAAACGGCCCTCGAGGAGATAGGCCTCCCAGCACTGACAGGTTCTAATGCCTGGTCCAATTTGACGCAAAATCTTGCTGTGAGTGGGCCTGTTTCCAATGTGGATCAACCCAAGGCTAAGCCTACATGAACCCCAGATTGGCGGTTTAATCGCTCACGTTATTCTTTTCTGGGGCCCGTACGCGGTAGACTCATTTAAACTCGCCTACAAGAGGTCGCAGCCCGATCCCCACTACCAGGTGAGGGATCTTGTGAAGAAGTGATGGGATTATCCGTGGATGATTGCTGATTCGTTTCCGCGTCATGCAGGCCATGCAAAAGTACAAGGAGGCGCCTTGGTGGTGGTATATCATCCTTCTTTGTTTGTCCTTCTTCGCAGGTTCGATATTTTCTCGTATTCATGGCGATTCCACTGACGATCATATACCAGGCTTGGTTGTTGTGCTTAATGGTCAGACCACTCTTCCTTGGTGGTCCTATATCGTCGCCTTGATCCTTGGCGCCTTCGTTACTGTAAGAGCCAATGCTGCCCATGGCCCGGGCTATTTGCGTGTACAGGTTATTCAGGTTAATTCTTGCAGCCTTTCTCCACTCTTCTCTTCGCCCGCATGGGTAATGGTATAGCTACGAACCAACTCATGAAGATGGTTGCTGGTGCTATCAACCCAGGTAGGCCGGTGGCGAATCTCTATGTAAGTAAACGTGGCGTATCTATCCATAGCGACTTCGTTCTCATGGTAGCCACCTTTCTACCACAGTTTTCGATGTGGAGCCACGACGTCGTCTCTACTTCGATCAATCTGGCAGGAGACCTCAAGATGGGACAATATCTGAAGATTCCTCCGCGTGTCATGTTCCTTACCCAGGTCTGGGGAACTATTCTGGGTACGCCTTGCATCCCTCTTCTAATAGCTGTCGCTGATAAAACTCTATCTATGCTTTCAGGAGCCGTTATCAACTATGGTAGGTCGATTATTTTGTCTACATTCTGGCTTTCTCAAACATGCTCTTTCAGTTGTTATGATTTCCGTAGTTGATGCGCAGCGCGAGATCCTTCTGAGCCCTACTGGAACGAATGTCTGGAGCGGTCAGACGACGCAGAGCTTGAACAGCGCAGCAGTCACTTGGTCTTTGGCGAAAGAGCTGTACGGCTTCAACGGCCCTTATTGGATTATTCCGATGAGCCTGGTCATCGGAATGGTACCAACGACCATCCAATGGGTCATTCATAAGGTGATTCAATTTCCAAGGATGCAGAGAATGAATGGGAGTAATTGCCGTTGCTTGCAGAAATGGCGTAAAATCGGGCCTGTGCAGGTTAGCACCATTATGCTACCCATAATTTACCAGGTAAGGAGCTTTGCTGTCTGCCAGCCATTTAGCGTATTGACGCGGCGGCGTCTCTGTCATGCAGTACTCCTCGTGGATGTCGGTCGGGGTCAATTCGACGATCACCTCGAGCATCATCGTCGGTCTGATCTCACAGCTCTGGCTGCGCAAGTACCACCCCGGGTGGTACAAGAAGTACAATTATATCTTGGGTGGCGCTCTGGATGGTGGCGCGCAGGTCATGATCTTCATCCTTTCCTTTGCTGTCTTCGGTGCGTCCGGAGTCGAGCGACCCTTCCCATTCGTAAGCAAGGATTTTATCCAGACATAAACAGGGACTGAATTTAGCGTAGTGGGCAGGCAATCCGGCACAAGGAAATGTGGATTATTGTAACGGAAATGGAACTCTTGACTAGATCACCAAGTTTCACTAATAATGCGCCATAATTCATTATATAGAACCGGGGTTTGCAACACCGGATTGCGGGAACCTGGGGCAACATATACACTCCCGACAAAATTGTCTCCCGTTGAATTCTGCGTCCTTGGAATCCTGGATGTTCCCATTGTTTTGGGTGCGAATACTGTAGTGCATAATCGCTACAAGTGGGCCCTTACGCGGTCTGGCATGCGGAACGCTCCTTCATTCGATTATGGATGCTTCAACGACGCATTCTGGTGTACTCACCGAACGAATCTTTGAAATCGTAGATAGAATATAAGGTTCTACAGTTTCAGCATCCTGTTGACGCTCTGAGGAGAGGGCGAACTCGAAGAACGCTCCTGAAGACGAAGGAAGCATGCGTCTTCTTCTCCGCATTGCAGCACGCGTTCGAACCATTTCAGCATATACATTGGCACGCGTGCCATGATCATCTTCCTGGCAGGGGTAAGCAAGATGAAGACACTGCAAACCAAGGAGAAGAGGCTCCGTTGAATCAAGCGTGGAGGTTGTCAACAGCTGGACGAGTGCTGTATCAGTAGCTGAAAGATGATGGTCACTGGTCTGCGAGCCAGGACAGTCCTTCACGTTCTGCAGGTAAAAGAATTGGAGATTTGGCATAGCTTGAAGGAGCGATTTCCTCCATGAGGTCGTCAAACTCTAGTGAACATCTTGTGAAAAAGTCGTCGAGGCATTCTTTGTGTGCGGTTGAAAGGGGAGCGCCTCCAATCCGGGAGTAGTTCAACAGGATTTTGTCGGCCACAGGGTCCTAATACGTACTCAGTATATCATACAGCGGACTATAATATAAACGCACCTCTGTGAGAGATGGCACAATCACCGGGAATGTTCCTCGTGAATGTTGTACTTCAGCGCTGCTCCCGAGAGATCCACAGAAAAGACATATGCGGAAGGTTTATTGCGTGTCGTCAAAGAAAGTTCTGAGAGATTCCGAATTAAATAAATAATGTCAAGTGCATCATTCGCTTTTAGAATACTGGTAGACGTACCGAACGCTGAAAGGTCATCGATCATCGACATCGATCATCGATTTGGATCGTACGTATGAGACAGATAGCTCACTCCTAGGTATTCCTAAAGGTGTAACATCTTCAACAGAGGTTAAGGTCGTCATAGAACGGCAGCGAATATACGGCAGTGGAGGACTCGCAGAAATCGAGCGAGGCACTGCACAGTCCTGGGAACTTGGCAAATTAGGTGTGACAAATACACGGCCATAACGCGTACACAAATGTCAATAATAAAGCACGTTCTCACGCGCCGGGTCTGGTTGATCAATGACGAGCGCAAAGTTCGTATTTTGATTCCTAGCACCGACTCCAAGATAATGGCGCCGGCATCGTCGTCAAAACAGAAATCCAAGGAAGAAGTCGTCGAAGAACTTCGCGAGTCTATCGGCGCAATCTTCGAGCAAGCGCAACTGTCGGTCGCAAACCACAAGAAGAACTGCGTTGCGTTGTCCAAAATCCATACCAAGGCTGCGGCAATTACTCATGGCGCAAAGGGTGGAGGGGTAAAACCTACTGGAGAACGGGCGTTTCAGGAGGTGTTCATCGACATGGTGAACAGGGTACTAGTCGTGAAGAAGGGTGTTGCGAACGCGGATCGGGTGGTCAAATACGTTGGCTCATTTGTGAAATTTATGAACGAGAAAGGTACGTGACCTAAATCCCAGCACTAGAAGGTTACTGATTTCCTTGTATAGCAATAGAGGCGAAGGCGAAAACCGCGTCTTCTTCCTCGATTTCTGCGGGCAACGGAGATGAAGATGAAGAGACACCCACCAGTCGCTTCGTTGCGAAACTCTTAAATTGGCTCATTCAAGGCTTTGGGGCGAAGAACAAGATCGTTCGATATCGTTGCATACAAGTCGTCTCGGAGATGATCTCTCACCTCGGTGAAATTGAGTGCGTAGGCCTCCTTTTTATGGTGGCTTTCTTTAACCTGCGTTCGTCTTTTGCCAGTGAAGACACCTACACAGAGCTGCGAGATGCACTCACTGATCGTATGAACGACAAGGAATCTCTCATTCGCGCTCAGTCCGTAATGGCTCTCTCAAAACTCGTTGGAAGTGAAGAACCTGACGAGATCGAGCAAGGAGAGCAAACCATCCTCCAAACTCTTCTCGAGGCTGTATCAGCTGATCCAGCCGGGTACGAGCCTTTCCGTCTTGTCTGTGGCTCAATTAACCTCTTTCACAGAGAAGTGCGACGCGCTGCCCTCCTCAACGTCCCACTCATCCCCTCAACCATCGATGGCATCCTCAGCCGCACGCGAGACGTCGACGCCATAACGCGGAAATTGATCTATTCCAACGTCCTCCTCCCAAAGATGAAGCATCCCCGCCAATTGACCATCGCCCACCGCGAACAGATCGTCAAGGATGGCCTTGGGGACCGCGAGCCCACCGTGCGTGTGGCAGCCGGCAAACTCGTGACGTCGTGGTTCGACACTATCCTTGCTGAGGAAGAGCACGAGAGCACGAAAGGCTGGGAAGGAGATGATGGTGGTGTGATGAAGGGTCTCATTCGGTTCCTTGGCTTGTTTGACGCAGTTGGTCCTGGCGAGGCCGTCGCGGTCGACGCGATCCTATCGGTGTTTACGACGCGGCCGGAGGTGCCTGACGTGTTCGTCTTTCCTGACGAGTATTGGAAGGACCTGACGGCCGAATCAGTTCTTCTCGCTCGCGTATTCGTCGAGCATGCTGTCAGCTCGAAGAATGAGGCTAGGCTGGAGACTGCATCGCTACCCGTGGTCACTGCCTTTGCATTCCATGTCCAGGAGGCATACAACAGCATTCTTCAGGTGCTGCAAGAGCAGGAGGCTGCTAAACTTCTCCGTGCAGGACGGGATGCGCGGGAAGACGAAGAAGAGCAAGATGAAGAATTGGAAGAGGAGCTTGCGAAGTGCGAGGTTGTGATGGGCGAGCTTTTAAAGCTGGCACTGAAGTTGGATTACGGAGACGAGATTGGAAGGAGGAAGGTTTTCTCGGTCGTCAGTGAGTGTCCTGCTTCGCTTCGGCACCTTTCCTTGCTCTGCTAACCTTTTCGCCGATAGAGGATATGCTTGCGCACCCTCGACTTCCCCCTGGCCTAATTGAAAGGTGCTTGGACGTTCTGAAGGAAATTATGCCCTCAGAGCGTGATCTGATCCGCCTCATCGTCGAGATAGTTGTTGAACTTCGAGAAGGAGACGAAGAGGCTGAAGTAGCTGATGAGCTTCCGGTCTGTATCCTTCGGCCGTTTCGTAAATATGGCGTACTTATGGACCTGTAATCAGATCGACGACAACCAGTCGGATGTCTCTCAAACGACGATCCGCAGGGACAAACCTTCTCGTAAGCAGAAAGCCCCTGAGGACCTATCACCCGAACAGCGCATGGAGGCGGATGTGACGGACGTGCGCTGTCTTATGCTTTGCATCGCCATGCTCGAACGCGTCAACGGTGTATGTGCCATTTCGAAATTCAATGTTTGCTTTTACCTGACTACGCATCCTTCCTAAGACCTTTGAAGATAACTCTACTCTTGAAGGTATCCTTGGCGACCTCATCATACCGTCCGTAAAGAGGAAGGAACTCGCAATGCGTGAAAAGGCTCTCGTTAGCCTTGGTCTTTGCTGTCTCATTGCTAAGGTGTGCCGCCTTCGTCCTTCTCCTTTATGCGACAAATGCTGAAGCTTTCGACAGAGCATGGCCTTGAATTCGTTCCAGCTCTTTTTGAGTCAAGCCCAGAACGCACCACCCGAGCTCAAGGTCCAGGTATTGAGGATCATCATGGACTTGCTGATCATGTACGACCATGAGTTCTTTGCTCGATCCGAGGAAACAGTAAGGGGTTAAACAAACATTTGTTTTCGACCCAGTTAACCTTTTTTTCGTTGTAGGCCAAGCAAATTGTCGATTTCCTTCTTCAACTTCTCGAAGGCGAAGAGTCTCCTGAAGCTCAGGCTGTGTTGGCTACAGGCTTCTGCAAACTCTTGCTGTCGGGTATCGTAAATGAACCCAAGGTGCGTGTCGACCGACATGCTGTGCCGCTGCCACTCTCAAAGAACGACTAGGTCCTCGTCTGTCTCGCGCTGCTGTATATCTCGCCTACGACAGCCAACAACCAAGAGCTTCGCCAATGCCTCTCGTACTTCTTCCCCGTGTATTCGTACTCATCGGCTGCCAATCAGTGTCGGATAGCATCTGTGTGTTCCTTCCGCGTCTCTTCTTGAATGCTTATTTATCGAGCCTTCCATTGTAGATCTTCATGTCCACTTTCGACCTTGCTGTTCGGCTACACGAAGACCTCGACGACGACCAGGAGATGATCACTCCTCATCAATTAGGGCTTTTGATGGTCGACTGGACGAACCCGCTCAAGGCTGCTGAAGTGTAAGCGTCATTTATTTTCACCATTTGCATTTGTATGAATTTAATAATGATGCCCCTATGCAGTGCCGTCGACAAAACTCCTAGCCAAGCACATATTAGCCTTGCTGTCGAGATACTGGTTGCGCTATACGATTCCGATCGTACAGTCGATGAGCAGAAGATCTTGTGCCAACTCCTCGGCCAGCTCCATATAGAAGCGGGTTTGGAACTTCGGTCTATCCACAAGCTCAACATCCTCATCTCACATCATGAAGAGGTAACTATACTGTCGTCATTTATGAACACAGCAGTAACAATAAACATCTAGCAATGCCCTTTCGAGAACTCGGCAAATGAGAAGCTCTTCGGCCGCTTCAAGACCAAGTTTTCGACCCTCTTCGAGAAGGAGTTAAAGGAGATAGACCCCCAAGAATACTTGGACGATGAATTCCGTGACGTCTATCAGAAGATGGGTGTTGACGTTCCGGAGGAGGGCGAAGACGGACAAGTTCGCCGTCGGTCCCGGTCCAAGGCCAAAAGCAAGGGAAAGCGGAAGGCATGGAGCGACGATGAAGAGGACGAGGAGGACGAGGAGGAAGAAAAAGGGGAAGCTGCAGAGGAGGACGAGGAAATGCAACAAGAGGAACAGGCGGAGGAGCAACCGACTGAGGAAGAGCACGGATCTGCCGCCGATGCCCAATCCAACATTGAGGAAGACAATAGGTATGTCGATAATTGTCTCCTTAGATCTACGATCCCTCTGACCTTAATATATATAGTGATGCTGAAGTAGATCCAGAGGAGGAAGTCACTGAGGTGGAGAGCCGAGAGAAGTAAGCTTCGAGACTTATTATCTCTTCGGCCTAGACTGACGGGCAATAGTTCTCCGACCCCACCACCGACAAAACCCAAGAAAAAGCCTCCTGCAACGCGTCAGAGTGGAAGAAACCCAAAAGTTGCAACGACGAAGAGTCGGAAAGGGTAGATATTTTTTTTTTCCGGCAGTCACTTTATCCTGACGTGGTCTGTCTTTCAGAGCAAAGCAGCAGGATTCCGAGTCCCAAGGTTCCAACGAAGAGAACGTTCCTCCGCCTGTAATTGTCTCGGTGACGCCGAAGAAGAAAGGTGTAAAGTGAGCGGTGCCCAAATCATCCCATCGTCGGTCTTCGGCTGATCTTTTTTGAAAAGACGGGTTCATACCCCTGGTTCCGGTAATGCCAATTCTCCGGCAAACCGAAAAAGAACTCGAGTCAAGGCGCCTCTGTGAGTACTCTATTCTGTGCTGCTATGAGAGAATATATCTCTGACAATGCCCACAGGAAACCAGTACCAAAGGAGGCGACGCCCGAAGAATCCGACATCGAAAGCCCCCCAAGCCCTACACCTAAAAAGAACACTCGACAAACTCGCGCAAGGGCAGCAAATGCTCGTAAGAAAACGGCGAAAGAGCTATTGCCTCCTGCGACCCAGAGTGACGAAGAGGCGGACGAAGTAGCGAGCTTGATGGCTTCGTCAGACGACTTTGGTGGATATTCAGACTGATAACTATTTCTATCTATTGCTGGCCCAGACCTCGTATCTCTCATTGCTTTGTCGATATGTTGTTCGTGTATTTTGTATTATTTTCAAAGGATAGGACGTTATGTAGCTGCCCAATAAATTGCCAGTTTACGCATTCACCTGTTCACACGGACTTTCCTTTCCAACCACTAATTCCTCCTCCACTCGTCCGAGACAGTTCAGGCTCAGGGCCCTGTGAGGCTATTGTAATCGGCGCCATTGAACTACGGAAACTTGCTATTCCCTTGATAGAGGTCGACAAAATCCAAGCGTTGACAGCCACCGATGGCAGACACAGGTGAGTGTTTTCGACATCTTTCGCAAATCCTAATCTCGTGAATCCCCTATCATTCACAGAAGTGGATTCTCCTCTCCATATGCCCTTCCTTTCAACTCAACACCATGTATTTCCGTTGTCAAGCCTACCCAATGAAGTCATCTCCGAAATCTTCTTGCAGCTTTGCGCACCCCCTCCCTTCCGGCAAAAACCAGACAAGCAATATACACCACCTCTTTTTCTTGGATCCATATGCAGACGATGGCGCGATGTTGCATGGAGAACGCCCTCTCTCTGGAGGTATACCTTCCTAGTGACTAACAGGGCTCGATACAATGTACACGTCGAACTCTTCGAGGCATGGCTTCAGAGGGCAAAAGCTTGCCGCCTTTCCATTACTCTCCGATTCAGAGTTTCTTTTCACCCTCAAATCCGTGAAGACGAACAGGAACCCCTGTATGAAATCTTCGACCTCATTGCAATGAAGAGGTTGGAAGCGATGGACCTGGTTTTTCCGGATGCGAGATGCGCCCAGATCATAAACGACGAGAAAGAAAGGTTCTCCTCGCTCAGTTCTATTCATATCAAGTACTCTACGCAATGGCCCGATGTCGATGTCAGCTTTTTGGAACACCAGGCCTCCCTCAAGCACCTTGGACTCAATCTGTTTGCAGATGCATATTTTCCTTTACCGCCGTCGTGTCTCCAACTTTCTACTGTGTACCTCAAGAATGTTGATTTAGAGGTGGCTGTTGCCGTTATGCGGGCAGCCCCAAATCTTCGCACATGTCGTCTCAAGGAGGTGAGGGAGCCCGATTCACAGATTTTTGAATCCTCTCCCGTTACTGCTCTGTCTCTGCAGTCACTCGAAGTCGAGTGGTGCTATTCTTTCTCCCTTCCCTCAAGATTCGGAGAGCTCCCGAATTTATCCGAGCTCATTATACGGGGGACCTATTATCCTTGCCTTGAAGAGATCAAGAGGTTTTTTAATATGCAGCCCTCGAAGCTGAAGAGGTTCCATCTCACCATTGACGAGGCCATGAAGCTTGAAGCAATCAGAGGTCTTCTAAACCATCACAACACCACTTTGGTTTCACTTTCTTTTCACAACCACTCTCACCGTGCACATTCTCTACACGAAGAAATCCATCAAAAGTTGACACCGAGGAACAGCGAGCCCGGATAAGGCCCATGTGTAAACTACGACTTAACACACCTTACATGTCTGCAATATACGCACCTTACATGCATGCAAAAAAATCACCTTACGTAGCATCTCAATGAAAATTCGTGGGGGTTACCTACAGTTAATATTAAACCATAGAAGTGCCTGAGGAAATCTGTGGTTAATATTTAACCACAGAAGTGCCCAAGGATTTATGGTTAATATTTAACCACAGATACACTTAAGGACGTATGTGGTTAAACATTAACCACTGAAGCACTCGAGGAGGTTAGTGGTTAAATACTAACCACAGAAACGTCCGAGGACCTCTGTGGTTAAATATTAACCACAGAAGCGCCCGAGGACATCTGTGGTTAAATATTAACCACAAAAGCGCCCGAGGAGGTCAGCGGTTAAATATTAACCACAGAAGCACCCGAGGACTTCTGTGGTTAATATTTAATCACGGGAGCACTCAAGGGGATCTGTGGTTAAATATTAACCGCGGAAGCGCCCGAGGATTTACTGTAGATGACCGGCATCTCGGTCACTCTACACTCGCCTAAGATTTGCGTGCTTGGTTTTGGGGTATCAGAAAAAATAACAGTACTACTCAATAGGCAAGCATCTGAAGTGCCTGTGCACCAATTACCAGAAATTTAAGGGACGGTTTGAGACCTCCATGAATATTTTATTTCGACAAGTCAAAATCGGTCGAAATCAGGAAGTCGGCCAGGCCCTGAGACTAGACCGATTTGTATTGGTCCCGTACACCAGCTGTAACTAGGGTCAGTTATGCTTAGTAAGCTGATGATAAGATAACCTCGGAATACGAGGACAACACTCGGCTACCTTGAATTACTCTTCGAAGTTGGTCTGACCTCAACGAAAAAATGTTTCCAGTGAAATTTAGACACCTCTATCATATTCTGGTCTTCTTATTTCATGATTTCTGATGTTTTCCTTTCAGTTATTCAATTTGACATTTCTCATCACTCAAAACAAGATTTTTCAATTGCTTGGTGTCTTATGTTCAGAAGAAATTTGTAAAAATTAAGGGGTCTTCTGTCATGCACAGATATTTGCCCCACAATTCATTCCACCTCTTTTTTAGGCAATAGGTGCTTTGTACTAAGAGAAATCAGCAGGAACAGTCCAATTCACCTCCAAAATGACACACTCTCCAATTTTCAAGGTTGGAAGTGCAGTAATCCTTCAACATCAGAGGAACTTGCTTAATTATACAGTAATCACTATGAAATTCTTAAGTCCAAAGTATCTTCCTGGCAATGTGTCATGTTGTCGAGAAAAGCCCTCAGGACCACCAGAAACACGATATCAAATAAGGAAATTGGCCATCACGCATCACCAGACACAAAGGGAGGCTCATTTCTCCGAGGAATGGTGTTCCGTCTGCCAAAAAATGTAGTTAGATTGCTCTGATACTATTATACATGAAAACACAAAAAGAATGGAGTGAAATGAGCAACTGTGCCACCCACAAAGGCAATGACCGAGTAGCTGGTGTGACCGAGTAACCGGTTATGTACAGTACTCGCTCCCATCAAAAGTGATTTCGGCCATTATTTTGGCCATAGCTCAGGACTTTGTCGACATGCTTCAAGGATTATTTTATATTCTTAACATCCTCGTAGGCTACACTTTCAAGGTGCTTAGAGATTAGCAAAACCTTATTGAGATCATTAAAAACAACATTTTCACCAAAATGCATGAAGTACAGCACCTGAGGAAAAAATCCTCTGACCTTCATTATTTTATGAGGGGTACTTCTATGTCACCAAACATCCAAACAAGTTTAATTGTGTTCAATTGTCAAGTCATTCCCAAGATATAAATGCCAAAACATGGTCATTTTCCGCATTTTTAGGGGTTTTCACGCGAATTACCTCAACTTGCTGGCCTCATATCCCCTAAACCATGGCTTTGATATTTTCCATTTTAGCTTGTATATACTCTCCCTAAGTATATCTACATATACATGCATTTTATAGATTTTTTACAACCTTCCTTGAAGATGTGAAAAAATTGCTCAAGCATAAATTTCGCATTTTCTCACCTCTGGGATGGACATCCTGCATTCTGAGAGCACCATTCTACTAGCCTAGTACATTTGAGATATGGAGAATATTTTCATGATCCAATGCTATCCCGAACCATGAGAACCCCAGGCCGAAATCACTTTTGGTGGCAGTGAGTATGTGGTTAATACTTAACCACAGAAGCGCCCAAGGTGATTTGTGGTTAAGATTTAACTGCAGCAGTATCTGAAGAATTTTGATGGTTAACCGCAGAAATGCCCGAGGTATGGTGGAGAATTAACCATAGATATGCCGGGGGTTAACAAATAACCACACAACCCTCTCGGCGTGGGGCGGGGGAGCCCAAATCGGGTTCGACGCGAGATTCCCGACGTTGTAAATGGCCTTTAGCTCGTTGTTGGGGACAGCGGGTGGGGCCAAAATTTAACAATTTAATGTCGATATTATTTTACACCTATTCTAGGTATTACCCTGCCTGACGAGAGGCCGCGATGGGTGGATCGGCGAGGGGTTGGATGATCTATTTTAAGAACTCACCATCCGGGGGCACTCCAAAAAAAAATCGAAAAAAATCGTATTAAACTCTAATAAAATAGATACATGCTCTACTAGCTCCACCCTCTATGAAATGGAGATAAAACGAGTAGAAACGGCATGTATAGACGCGCCATTTCTGCCCACTGGGACCCCCGCCACTGTCTCTACCCGTCTGCTGGCACCCTCCGCCCCCCTCCGGGCTTGTTGGCGGCCCCTCCACCTTCCCCAAACTTGTTGGGGCTCGTTGGGCGGCGCCTGCGCTGCCTCATCCCCTCTGCTGGCTGCCTCCGCCCCCTCCTTGTTCGTTGAGGTTCGTCGGGTCGTGCTGCCGGTTGGTGGGTGCTGGGCAGGAGCTGGAGGGATGGGGGTGATGAGGGACGAGGACAAGGGTGAAGGTGAAGGCGAGAGGGTGAGGGCGAAGGTCGCGAGCGTCGTTGTTCGCTTGCCCTCGTCGTTGTTCGCTTGCCCTCGTCGTTGTTCGCTTGCCCTCTCGTCGTTCGCTCGCCCTCGTCATTCGCTCGCCCTCGTCATTCGCTCGCCCTCGTCATTCGCTCGCCCTCGTCATTCGCTCGCCCTCGTCATTCGCTCGCCCTCGTCATTCGCTCGCCCTCGTCATTCGCTCGCCCTCGTCATTCGCTCGCCCTCGTCATTCGCTCGCCCTCGTCGTTGTTCGTTCACCCTCCCCGTTGTTTGCTCGCCATCACCCCTCTGCCACCTCGTCGTTCGCTCGCCCTCGTCATTCGCTCGCCCTCGTCGTTGTTCGTTCACCCTCCCCGTTGTTTGCTCGCCATCACCCCTCTGCCACCTCGTCGTTCGTTCACCCTCCTCATTCGTCCGCCTTCATCATTCTCCGTCGGCCCCCGCTGGTTGTTGTTCCGACGCCCCTCCCCGGTCGTCGTTCTCTGTCACCCCCTCCCCCCTTGGTCGTGGTTCTTTGTCACCCCCGTCGTCGTTCTCTGTCCCTAGCCCGTCGTTCGCAGTCGTTTCCCCCTGGTCGTTCATGGTTCCCCCCCTGCTGGTCGTTTTGGGGACGGAGGGTTCAGGTGAGGTGCAGGAGTGAGAGGGTAGGGGTGGCGAGGGCGAGAGAGGTGAGGGTGGAGGCGAGAGGGCGAGGATGGGCGATGCGACGGGGAAGGGAGAGGCGAAAATGGGTGAGAGGGGGGCCTCGTCATGGTCCTTGTTGTTGGCCTTGCCGTGGTCCTCTTCATCGGCCTCGTCGTGGTGGTGAAGAGTGAGGTGGTGGGAGGGAGAGATGAGGGCAGGCTCAAGGCCGCGCCGGCCCACATCCCTATTGTAAGGGGAGGGGCACGCGGCGGCTTCGTTGCATCGTCATCGACGCAGACGGGGTCCTGTGAGGGTAGAAATGAGTTAGCATGCATGTAAGTACATAGATAATTGTCGACGTACCTTTGTTTTTGGGCCGGTTCGCAATGGGGGGGTAAGTGTGGTGGTGGATGAAGACCAGGATCGACGATGTTGAACATCGTTGATCACTGTTCGGCTAATTCCGGCTACGCATCCCATTGGCTGGGACGCGCGGCCCGATTCTCCGTGCGTTCCGTTCTCAACCCATGGAACGTCTCCGATGTACGCAGAAGATGTTCCTCTTCAGTTAGAATATTCGGTATATATTACTGGTACTTAAGTGCATCTATTCCTCTTTTATGAAGGATATCCGATGAAATCCAAATATTTTACGGATGAAACCATCTGATGCTTGTGCCAATTCAAGGACTCTCATCAATGTCTGCTGGAATCCAGCAGGGGGGGAAAGGCAAATAAATTGACAAAAATGATATATAGAATGTATGATAATAACAGTACTGAGGAAAGAGTCTCCCCTGACCGAGTTGGTACCTTTTGGGATGTAAGCTAAGAACATAACAAAAGATGAACTGGATTCACATAAGAAATCAGTTCGAGATATGTCGCCTTTCGTTGCTTGGACTGTAGAACAACTTCTACTGGGAGGGACCTGGGAACAATTGTGAATTAGAGTACTTACTTACTCAAGGATTCAAAATGAAGCATTACTTTGGTTCTTCAGCCCCTCAAATGGGCGGTATTTGAAGGGTTGGAACAACAGGAGAATGAAAATCACCATGCAGAGCAGTGACCATTGGTTTTGGTTCCCTCTTGCTCTCAAGTGGTATTCGGACTTGAATAAATACATAGAGTACACTAATTTAGGTAATTACCGACACTAAAGTGAAGAGTTTTTGCCCTACCTGGGGCGTACAAGCTATTCCGGAGTCGTGGGATGGGTTGCCTGCGACTGGCCTGCGACCCCTGCGACTACCTGCGACCAGCCTGCGACCAGCCTGCGACCAACCTGCAACCCCTGCGACCGCCTGCGACTGTCTAACAATGCAAAGCTGGGGGGGGAATTGAGGATCTATATTCTAAATTTAATAATACAAATGAAAGTTGTGTGGTCGAAGGGTTAGGTGTGCTACGTTTTTGTGGTCCTCATTCTGCAAAAGTTCAAAACAAGTGGGGTGATTTTTCTTTTTCAACAATAGAGTCTTGTGTGGACATACTGTGGTTAATTATTAACTGTGGATTCTCGAGTGAGCGTCATTAACCATAGGTATTTACAGGAGGGTCTGTAGTTAGGGATTAACCATAGATGCTCATGTGGACATGCTGTGGTTAATAAATAACCATAGGTGTTCACAGGAGGATCAATGGTTAATAATTAACCATAGGTGTTTGTGGGAGGGTCTGTAGTTAGGGATTAACCATAGATGCTCATGTGGACGTGCCATGGTCAATAAATAACCATAGGTGTTCACAGGAGGATCTATGGTTAATTATTAACCCTAGGCATTCATGGAGTGTCTGTAGTTAAGGCTTAACCATAGACGCTCATGTGGAGGCACTGTGGTTAATGAATAACTGTAGATGCCCGTGTGGACGTGCCATGGTTAATAATTAACCATAGGCATTCACAGGAGGGTCTGTAGTTAAGGATTAACCATAGACACTTGTGTGGACATGCTGTGGTTAGTAATTAACTATAGGTGTTCACAGGAGGATCTGTGGTTAATAATTAACCTTGGACACTTGTGAGGGAATCCGCAGTTATGTATTAACCATAGATGCCTGCACAGACGCACCATGGTTAATAATTAACCTTGGATGGCTGGGAGGGAATCTGTGGTCAATGAGAAATACTTGCACTTACAACATGGTTATGCATTAACCACAGTTATCTCGTGCAGCCTATAGGCAACACAGCCCAGACTATTTGGTGTTTATGACTTTCCAGGTCAATGTAAGGTGCATTTTTGCCCTCATGTAAGGCGAGCTCTACAGTGCAGTGTAAGGTACAATATCTCTACTTTTACACCTAGGCCCTAGCCCAGCAAGCCCCTTCTTCTGAACCTTCAA